CGAGATCCACAGAGCAGCAGCCAAGATGCTGGAGGAAAAGCAGAACCTAACCTGGAGTAAATTCAAATTAAAGACCAAAAAGGCAATAATGTGTCTGTCACACGGAGAAACGGGAGGAATAGGGCCCCAGGAGCTAAGATAAAAATTTACTGAGCAATTCATTGCTGTATTAATTGACTGTCACTGGCCTAGCTGCAAATGAGTTGCAGGGGTTTTGTACAGGCACACTGTGGGTTCTGACAGCAGCTGGTATCATCGCAAGCCTCCTTCAAGCTTGTACCTGTTATAGCATTTTGGCAACGTCACAAAGCTCATGAGGTCTTCCATTCACATATGAACTGCGCTGACCAAATATTACCTTCCCATGTCCAGTTTATCCACACCACCTAGCCTAGTCGGGCACTCAAAAAAGCCTTAAAGATCTACCAGCAAAGGCTTAAATAATTTCCATCAAGGCCGCCAAGGGACCTAAACAAAGAATATTTAAAACAAACAACTTTTTTACTCCTTGTTTAAAAAAGCATGAGCCAATGCTCATTGATTTATTCAGGGACATTTATTTAACAACCTAGTATAAGCCAGGAACTGTAGATACAAAGACTAAGAAGATAGGATCCGGGCCCCAAGAGACTTACAGTGTTTGGGGTGTGGGGGAGGGTGGACACAGGCATGTAAATTAGTAAGGATAATAAATTGTTACAGGTTCTACAACAGAAGTATGTTGATGGTAAAATAGGGACATTAAAAAAAGGAGAGTGATCAATTCTACACAGGTAGGAGGATGGTAAAATCTTTAGAGAAAAGGTGACCTTTTAAAAAATAAAGGCAGCAAGTCAAGATATGAGTATCTATGACATTAAATAATCACATACATATAATTTATTCTTCATTATAAAAAAAGTGACATCTATTTAGGAATGTAGCTACAAATGAAAATTTTAAATTCCTTCTCTTTTCAGAAATGCTCCACTAGCCTCTTTGACAATTGAATATAACTTGTCATGCTAGGAGTCAATAGTCAAATACATAATTTGCAATTGACTCAGTATATGAGGCAGAGTAAGACAAAAGTTTTTTATTTTCTCCTGTATGATTTAGGTGCATATATAAAAATATATCTGTCTGAATATTAGTGGCCATATAGATTTCTGGTAGTTATCTCCTAGAAATTCTTCCACCTGTACGCTCACTGCCACCCACATTTTAATCACTTAAAGGGTAGCTCTTCTTTTGAGCAAAGTTAAGCTCTTTTGAGCAAAGTTAAGCTCTTTTGAGAAAAGTTACTTCATAGCTTAAAAACTGAAAAGGCAGAGTTGTGGCTAGTAGAAGTAAAACTTCAGCTGCTGGTATCAAGCTGGGGTTGTAATCTTCAGATGTGTATGCCATGAAGGTATGTGGACCACACATTGGTCTCTTCAGCCTCTCATTCCCGCAGACAAATTTTCAGAGCACCATCTTGCAAAAAAATCCACTTACAAATAGATTTGTCCAAGTCCATTACAAATAAGTTCAGTTCCAGTCATGTGATCACTCAATGCTAAAAATTAATCTTTGTTAGGTAATCGCATCAGCCTCTGTGCCAGCAAGCCTCATTCCTGATTCCTCATTACCAAGTTACCAAATTAACTCATCCAAACCTCTGAAGGAAGTCTTTGAACATCTTTGTAGAGAAGGGTTTCTATTATAAATTTCCCACAGTAGTATTTACATCTCCACAGAGCCTCGCAAAAACTCCTGAGTGCCTTTAGGGGATCATTTCAACCTCTATGTAATGCTCAAGTCTTCCTCCCCTTTGCTTTAATGACCACTGCATTCCCACCTCTACTGTTCTCTTCTGGAATGTGTCAAATAAAAAGCAGATATGGGGCTTCCCTGGTGGCACAGTGGTTAAGAATCTGCCTGCCAATGCAGGGGACACAGGTTCCAGCCCTGGTCCAGGAAGATCCCACATGCCGCGGAGCAACTAAGCCCGTGCGCCACAACTAGTGAGCCTGCGCTCTAGAGCCCACAAGCCACAACTACTGAGCCCGCGTGCCACAGCTACTAAAGCCCGTGCTCCGCTACAAGAGAAGCCACTGCAATGAGAAGCCCGCGCACCGCAACAAGGAGTAGCCCCCGCTCGCCGCAACTAGAGAAAGCCCACGCGCAGCAACAAAGGCCCAATACAGCCATAAATAAATAAATAAATTTATTTAAAAAAAAATAATAAAAGGAAAGAAAACAAATCTGGACCTAACAAGGAGAGACTTGATTTGAAAGAATTACTGCAAGAAAGAGGGGGTGAGTGATTCCTGCAGCGATGGAGGAAGACTATTGCGATAAGGAGAATCTTTGACCATAAGATTTGCAAACATGGCGAAACTTAGGCAAAAAGAGTTTTCCTTTTAATAGGAAGGTGTGAACAAGGCTGGAAAGAACCTGATGTGGGGAAGTGGGATAAAAGGGTGGCATAATCATATAGGAGATCTGAGAATGCTTTTACCCTGAAGCCCATTCTCAAGAGGAGGTACTAAGGAGATGCCGTATGCTGGCTAAAGTTCAGGGACCTAGGGGAAGGAGAGAAGCTTAAGCACAGTTTGGTTAATAAACATGTTTTTTCCAGTTGACCAATGGAGACAATCAGTTCAGCTAATCATTTGTGAGGTTAAAGAAATGGGAATTTGGGGGACTGTGTCTGGCCTTGTCATAGGTAAACAAGGGGCCATCCACAGCTAAGTCATATGGGGAAGGGTGGGTTTCTTTGCAGTAAGCTGTTTCCAAAACACAAAAGAGTTGGGGGGGAGGGGTTTAAACTTTGCTGTTTTCTAGGATCACAGGTCTTAGGGAGAGTTCAACATTGTCCGCTGATTTTAAGCAAAGATGAGGTAACCCTGGGCAATACTATTAGGTGTGACCGAGCAGGACCCTATGGGGCCTTCCCAGAACTGACCCACACCCCGCATCCTCCATCTGCCTCTTGTCTGTAGAGAAGTTTTAGCCTCCTAGGCCTTCCCCAAGTTCCAAAGAGTAAATTTAATCAGAGAAATGAGAAAATGCAGAAAGAAAGGAAAAGAGCCAAGCAAGGCAAAATAATAATAGTTTAGCCATTAAACAAAGTTAAGGACCTTTAGTTCCTCCTCAAGGACTGTAGGTAATATTCTGAGCCGTATCCTTGAGCGGTTTTGCAGATACTGAAACCACCACCAAGCAGAAGAAGGTAACTGCATGCTGCCCGCAAGCACGGAGACCCCAGGCCGGTTGGAACCGGAAGGTTGATGATGTTGACTCCTGATGACCTCACCACCAACCAATCGGAAGAATGTTTACTAGCCGATCACACACCCCACAATGCCCCTCCCTCACCCTGTCTTTAAAAACCTTTCCCTGAAAGCCTTCAGGGAGTTCGGGCCTTTTAAGCACTAGCTACCGGAAGCCCTTGCTTGGTGCCTGAAATAAATGCTCCACTTTCCTTCACCACAACCCGGTGTCAGTAGATTGGCTTTACTGTGTATGGGCAAGAGGACCCAAGGTTGGTTCAGTAACGTTAGGAAATGTAGCTTTTAGTATGATGTTAGAATAAGTCAAAAACACTGCCTTCTCAATGGCTTGGTTTGATATGAGTTTCTTAGATATGCCCGGTCAAGGTAAAAGGAATCTTAATGATTCAAGCCAGATCAGAGTTCAATACAAAATTGGGGGCTAAATAATAAACAAGAAAATGCATTTTTCTAACCCTGACTCCTGAGCCTCTGTCTCCCTTGGTGACCTACGGTGATCTATGGGGATGTCTAAGCCTCCTGCCATCAACTGCTTTAGGTCCTCCGTCATCTATTGTTTTTTACTTTGCAGATGTATCTGACAAAGGGCATGCAGAAAAGAAAAAAAATCTAACACTGTTTTAGGCTCAGAGGTTAAGTCTTTGGCAGAGCTGTACAGAGAATCAGAATCTCCTAAATTCCCAGACTCAAGCATTCCCGTTAAAAGAGGAAAGCCACATTATTTTCTTATATTACTGAATTTCTAAGAAAGGTAAATATAGACCAGTGCATCTGGAGTATCTGCCTCTGGAAAAGAAGCAAAAAAGATCTACTTCTTCCTCTTCTTTTTTCCCCTTACACTACAGAACCACCGAGAGGCGGACAGATGCTAGAGATCTGCCCTGGGCTGGGCTCCAACACACTCACATCTGCATAGGAAGGTCCCTTCCCAAAGCAGTGTAAGTCAGCAAAATAATGTTAATTCAACTTGCCTTAGTTCAACACAGGACTTTCAGAAGGTATTTTACTATCTTTCTTCACCCAAAATAAAATCCGTTATTAGCAGAAGCAAGAATTAATAGACTAATGAGAGAGAATATAATAGGGTAACATTAAAACACAGGTTTTAAGGACGTTAATGAAATTCACTTAAGTAATTTCCCCATTTATAATAGCTTCACAATTAAGCTAAAATCATATTGTCTGATACTAAAGAAATTATACTTTTGTCGTGGCTCTTCCCCAAATCTCAGCAGAAACCAAGGAAGCCTCATAATCGCTAAATTCAGCTTCCTATTAGGCAAATAACACATAAAAGTGAACACAGAAATGATAGAAATAAAACTTCTAAGCTGGAAACTGACTTTATTACTGTGAAATCATATGAATAATTTCTAATTGATTTGTATTGGGCAGGAATCTTATATTCCAGAACCATGCTCATCTATTTATCACAATATTTTATATGACATATGGAAACTAATCCATTGCTTCATTAATATTTAGTCTTTCTCTAGTCATGGCTCAGAGATATTTAACATTCTAAAACATAAGCATTGATAATTACATGTTTTACATTTGACTCTAATTTTTAACACTGCCAAAACTATTTAGTACAACTAACTTTTTAACTATGTACTCTTTTCTCTCTTTACCATTAGCATATCAATCAAATTTGCATTATACTGGTTTGCTCATTTTATTAAAAGCGAATTCAGGGCACAATTGACTTTTCATTTGTTTAACAAGTGAAGAAATATTTACCCTGACAGCCATTGCATTGTAGAGATTCATCTTCATAGTGTAATATGCTAACTGTGAATCGAGAAAAAAAAAAAGATGGCATATATTTTAGTTTTACACAAAGACAGTGCAGCCTATTTTTACATATAAAAGATAAGAATCTTTATACATAATACATAATAAGAGTTCTATGCTTAGAAAAATGAAATCAAACTTTGTATTGAAGAGATAGGCTTCCTAATACATAATGCAGGCTTAACCAGAAAAATCTATGGTAGTCAAACTAGGAGCTAATGGAGATATATGACCATAAAATGCTCTCCGCTGAGTTTGATAATCAATGGTGCTCTACTGAGAATAAAATAACAAAGCAGAAATATTCACAAGTGCTGGTGACACGTAGTATTGTATGATTTATTCACTGGGGTTCTTTTAGCCAAAACTCACAGAAACATAAAAGGAATTCATATTTCAAGACGTCTGGTTTAATGAAAAATTCAAAGAAATGCTGTCTTCAGTCGAAATCGTTCAAGGATATGGATGCAGTGATGGAGCAAAATTGTGCCTTCCAACCATCTGTACAAAATGTTATGTACTTAGCTGCCTCCTGAGTAATCCTTGGGAATTTTGTTTCATTTAATATTCATTTTAACACCATAAAATCATAAATACAATGATATCATGTTACAGCAAATCCCCTGACATAATGAAGACTTCCTAAAGACTTGGCTTCTTTCTAGTAGAGACACATTTGTCTTTTAATGCACGAATCTCGGTGACAGTAAATAATCATTTAGCAACATAGCTTATTTCAGTGAAAATATTGCTTTAAATAAAACTTCCACATCTGCTCTTTCAATTAAAAAGACACAATTAACATAATTCATAACAATTCATGACAGTACAATAAACATTGAAATACATATTTTTTCCACACAAAATACACCTTTATCCATTTTATTCAGTCAAAACTCATCAGACTAATATAAACTTGAACTTAGGTAATAGGTGTTATGTTTCAGCAAAAATCAGAGATAAGTGCCTTAGCCTTTTATATAGGGGTTTTCTTCCTCCCTGCAACAAACAGGAATTCATATAAAAGGGTTTCACTGTAATTAGTATTGTTTGAATTGCCTGATCTGATCCACAGCAAATTGTCTGTGGAGAGCAGCAGGGCTAGATTAGTTATCAACAGTCTGAGCAGTTAGTAAACAGTTGGCTGCAATGTGTTATTTACAAATGAACACAATGATGTTACTTCATTTTAAATTCTCTTTCTTCGTTATGGCAAGCAAGGCATAATTCTTGGTGTTTGAGGTCAACTTAAAATATTTACTTAGAGTATTTCTTCAAGGCAAATATAACCAGTAAATATTTTTACACAGAAGAAACATATTGGAAATTATATATTTGAGAAAGTTGGGTTCAGAAAAAGATATTGTTTCTTATCTTTTTTCATATTGCTGTTCAGTCAGCAGCAGTGAGCATTAGCGAGCTTTCAAGCCACAGACCTGAGTTCAGGTCCTGACGTTGCTCTTACCAGCTGTGCGGCTTGAACAAGTTACTTGAAGTCTCCCAGTCTTGACTTCTAGCCTTACAAAATGGGATATCACATACTCCATGGAGTTCTTGTGAAGAATAAAATGAGATCAGGTATTTAAGGTGCTTGGGACATAGCTGATGGTCATTAGGAAAGGGATTATCACTGTTACACATTTTGCGGCTAAAAGTATGTGATTTAACTATAAGTAAAATTCCAAACGGTATAAGAGGTTAAAATTTATTCTGAACAAAGAAGAGATATAGGTTTGAGCCTAAGAATTTTGAATTTTATAGTTAAAAGGTGGGAAAGCACTTTGATTCCAGGTTATCATTCTCATGTGGAGCACAGACAGATGTTACATTGACTCTCAATTCTATAGCCCAGATCCGAAAGTACCACAGAAACATCTGAGAAAACAATGTATGATCCACTTATATGAGGTACCTGGATTAGTCGAATTCACAGAGACAAAAAGTAGAATAGTAGTTACCAGGCACTGGGGGAAAAGGAGGAGCTAGTGTTTAGTGGGTACAGAGTTTCCCTTTAAGATGATGGAAACGTTTTGGAGATTGTTAGTGGTGATACTTGCATAACAATGTGAATGTACTTAATGTCACTGAACAGTACAGTTAAAAATAGTCAAAATGATCAATTTTATGCTATATATATTTTACCACAATTTTTAAAACCACTAAAAAATAATTTGTGAATGTGAATCATGCATTTCCATAAGCTATCTATGAGACACATTAGATGCTTTGAGATTTTGTAAAATACTGTCTCTATATTTCTATTCTGAGCAATGATGATTATTTGTTATACTAATATTTGTTCTTTTGGTTACATGAGTAGTTAAATTATAATTCATACTAAAACCCTTGTTCTTAATATTATTTTCCAGGATTCTGTCCTAAAAGTTTTTTTTTTTCTTCCATTCCATGGAGTTGGATAAGCAAATATATCACAGCTACTAAATATTGATAACATATCCAAGAATGACAGACGATAGTAATTCATCAGCAGAGAAAAATCCCCAAATTTTCCTTACTATATATTAATTTCCTATTTTATCATTAAGGTACCAAGTCTATTTTAAAGAGGAAGACTAAAGATCTGGGGTGAAAATCAAGCATAAAAGATGATAGTTTCAATGTAATGAAAACATGATGTTCAATTATAGATGTTTCCCAACTATTTGTTGACTAAATGAAGGAAGGGGAAAAGAGAGGGAGGGGGAGAAAGAAAAGAGGGAGAGAAAGATAAACAGAATTGATATGTTGCATTTAGAACAGATAGAGTAGGAAGAATTACTGGGATGAAAATCGCATTTGAACACTAAATAAACCACTTGTTGGCCATATGGCCCTTGTCATGTCACCTAGCTCAATTTTCAGAAGGCTTCTGAAATTTTTTCTGGAAGTTGTATTCCTTTTAAAATCGATTTTCTCAGTGGTCAGCATCCATGTGGACCTTTTGGACAGGGCTGCTATTCAATGGGATTGAACCGTGATATCGATGGGAGCATGTCTTGTGTGTGAGTTTCCGTTTTTTCTACCAGGTGAATTACAGTGCAGGGGCAGGGGTGGGGATAGGTTAGAACCATTCTCTTAGAGGTCAAGTGATATTCAAAGCTCACTGCACCAGGTCCCAATTTTGTTCTCCGATCATCTCCCACCACGCTGCTCCTTTAAACCTCAATCTGATCAAATTATTATCTTTTCTTCTTCACGTCCGTGCTCCTACTACTCGCCTTGCCTAAAACGTCTTATCATCCTTTTCTAGCTGTCCAAATCCTCTGTGTCCTGCTGTTCTCACAAACATTTATAGGAGAAACCACCTTTTCTCCCCCAGTCTAAGCACCAGCAACTGGAAGAAGCTGCTGGCATTCTCTCAGCTCCAGTGGATACTTTCAAACCATTTCAAACCAGTAGGAAGTACTCCTTTAGAAGCAACAACAACTACCACGACAAAAACCCAAAGAACAAAAAACCTCACTGTTTACTCTCAAGCTTTTCACATTTATCACTCTCTCTCCCTTTGGTGTTGTCACCCGTCCTCAGGTCTCTAGGTACACTCTCCTTTCCCCTCCTCGCCTCCCCTGACCTACTCCAATAATATGCTCTAAGCGTTTTGGCACCAAGCTAAAGGTCTTATTCTTCACCACAGCTCCTGCCGTATCTTAAGGCTTTCCAAATTCGCATATACAACACACTCAATTACCTGCTCTCACTATTGCCTGCCTTTCCCAGTCGCGATGACATCCACTTCCCATAGCCATGTTCCAGACGCTGTGAACTATTTTCTCCTCTTAAGTCTTAAACTCAGATTGCAAATTCTTCTCCTTAAATCCCTGATAGCTTAATTTCTATTAAGGGCTTTTCCACCTAGTAGACAGATCTAGTACAGGTATGTCCTTCTCCTCAGTTTCAAGTCCTTCTTCACATATGTTTATATACAATGGCTACATTGATAGTTTGCTAATGAACATATCATAAATTAACTAATCTTTCCATTATTGTTGAGCATTTAGGTTGGAAACCAAGAAAACCTGAGTTTCAAACGGTCAATCATTTTCAAAAACAGAACATTTAAAGTAATACATATTTATAATAAATTTGAGTAATACATCTATATGAACTTGACCAGATCAACTGGCTTTATTTGCTAGACTGGGCAATACAGAGGAAATATTTGCATTAAAGTGATGACTCTGGAAACTCGAGAAGCCAGGCACATATGGATAACAGATCTGGGGAGCCTGTGCCTTTGTTATTTTCCACATCAGTGCCATCCTCATTTCATAATTTTGAGTATGATCATTAAAATGATTTAGTATCAAATAATCATGAGTATTTTGTGCATATGCTTTGCCTTGTTCGCTGGCAACTGATACCAATCTGGTCGTTATCAACAGCTGATTGTTAAAATAACCTTCCGTCTTCTACACACACACAAAATTAAAAGCCAATTACATTATTTTTCACCGTTATTATTAATGTAATCTTTAAAAGCAAGTAAACTAATTCTAAATCATATTATTATAATGAAAATGTTAGCAAAGTTTTAAATTTATATTAGAAAAGTCAGAGTCTTAAGTTATCCAGCCTTTGGTATTTATTTAAAATGTCAGATCCTGAGGGGAAAAAATAGATTATGTTTCAATTTTCTGCTCTAACACTGAAGAGTGATAAATGTTGCCTCATTAACATATAACTGAATTGGAAGCCTTATAAAGAGATTTATAAAAAGAGTTGGGCTCATAGAAGGAACATTCATTTATCTAATGAAGAGAAATAAAAATGTCCGTACAAGCAACCATGACAATCTCATCAGTTTTAAAAATAATGACTGAAATTTTATGTATTTTTACTATCCATTCAAAGACAAACCTGCTGATATTTATCATGACAACGCAAAATGGGATTTGATAGCAGATGAGATCCTTTGTTCCACTTAAAGTTAATAGGATCTCTTTCCATTGTTACTCTTTCAAATACTAATCAAATACGAAAACTTTGTGAGAAGAGCA